CCCTCCATGCCTCCATTCTCTCCATTCCCTCCATTCCCTCCATTCCCTCCATTCCCTCCATTCCCTCCATTCCCTCCATTCTCTCCATTCCTCTGAGGATTTCTCAGAAGTTGCAAAGCTCCTCTTACTCCCTGAATCCTCTTCCATCCTTCTCGTCCTCTTTCCTCTGTCCTCTTCCGACCTCCTCGTTTTCTTCCTCCCTCCATGCTCTTCACTACTCGTCTTCCTCACCTCGTCATCTCCCCCTCTCCCTCTGCTCCCTCACTTCTCTTTCCCCTGCAGGAGGTCGTAAGGGGAGGGTCTGCTGTGGCGTTTGTGGGAAAAGCTTCTATGATAAAGGTGGGAACGTACACACTTTAGAATGAATGGTTACGTTTGAAAGACTCTATTTCATTTCTTGTTAGAGTTCTACGCGGACCCCTAGGGGTATGTTGGGGTACTGCAGGGGGTACGTGAGGTAAAAAAAAAAAGGTTAATTAAAAAAATACCATGCATGATTACAAAAATAATCTTAGTACAGCAAGTTAAATAGAAAACACAATTTTCTATAAAATATTCCTAGAACCACCTCATATAAACATGTCAAATGTCTGTATTGTATTTTATAGTTTTTCATAATATATCATTTGTTCATTGGTTTGTTCAATGGAAAATATCCTTAGTTTGTTGTAATAATGACGGAGTTACTAAATCACTCTCTGATGGAACATCACTATATTGTAATTATTTAGGCTTGTTCTATCACAAATGTTCGGGTCGGCTGAGAAAATGTTTCTCATTACTGAACAAGGTTTGAGAAGCTTAATGTTCTAGAGCAGGGGTGCCCAACCAGTCGATCGCGATCGACCGGTCGATCGCGGGGAGATTCCCAGTCGATCGCGAGATGTGTCTAAAAATAGAACAACAACATTCTGTTTTATCGTTAATGTCCTATAACATAATCTTCCCGTGCCAGAATAATGCACTTGAACGCATCAAAGCTTTGTGATTGGCCGGCGTGACCCCATGTGTCGGGGCGTGGCTGGTGGGCAGTGGGCACTATTTCGCTGACGTTGTCCGTGGCAACAGGAGTGACAGTCCGCACACACACAAGACCGCAATTATGGCAGAAGCAAAACAGCCCAAAATATATAATGTTCACTCCGAGTGGGAGGATGATTATTTTTGTATCTATTCCAATTCAAAGTCCATCTGTCTCATCTGCAATGCGAGCGTGGCTTTATCGAAGAAGGGTCATTTAGGAGCGGCATTTCAAAACGGTGCACAAACGCTACGAGACGGAATTCCCTCCTGATTCTGCCCTACGCTCCAAAAGGGGAGGGGCCTGAAAGGACAGCTAAATGCACAGCAGTCCATTTTCACCAGGCCCAACAACAAGAGCAAGGCTGCTACCACAGCATCTTATCGTGTCAGTCACGTTCTTGAGAAACACATGAAGTCTTTCAAAGACGGCGAAGTTGTGAAAGAAGCATTCCTGGAGGCTGCTGACGTGCTTTTGGGGGACAGTAAAAATAACAGTAGAATTTCAACAGGTTTTTCATATAATAAAAACTCAAGTTAGATACCGTTATTAATCAGCTGTAAGTTTTAGTTTGTTTGAACTTATTCATTACAATTATTGTACAAAATGGTATAAGAATGCAAACATTAAGATCTGTTCTGTTTAAATTGATTATAGTCTATTATCAATTCAGGTTAAGAAACTAGTGTTGCTTGCATCCTATTTTAAAGGCATTTCTTTTTATAATCTACTAAAATGCAATAAAAAAAGGGTTCGATTCTATTAATTTTGTCTTTTTTATTGCACGTTGGCAGCAGATTCCTGTGTAGCTTCAGATCTGAGTCGTCTTATTAGTAAGCCTCATTTATACTTTTGTAGCAACACTATTTTTATATAAGGACAAAGAAAGGGTTCAGAGTCTTTTCTTTTTTCCCTGTGTCATATGTGGCAGCACTGTTCAATGCTTCTTGAAAACATGACCCACTGTAGTGACGTGTGAATAAACTCCAACTCTGTATCAACAACACTGTTGTGTAACTTCAGTTAAATACTTGTATGTGTGTAGATTAGAAAGAGGTAAGATAAAGGATCTGCAGTATTTTATAAAGTATTCATCGTACAAAGGTCAGTTTTATAAAAGTAGAAGTGTGTATTCACCTGGTAGTAGGCTGTCAGTAACTACGTCTCTCTATTTGGACTGGTAGATCTCGGAAGACTGGCAACTTTAAAAGTAGCTCTCGGTTAAAAAAAGGTTGGGCACCCCTGCTCTAGAGGTTCGCTTTGAGGTCCTCTGCTGTTTCGAATCTTTCTAGGGCTCAGCTTAAGGCTACTGATCTAGTGTGTTGGTGTTCCTCAGGGTTCAATTTGAGGTCCTCTTTTGATCTTTCATCTTGTTGGTCATGGAATCCATATTGAAGCCTCTGACGGTTAAATCTCTCGGTGTTCCCAACGATTCAGTTCCTAGCTGATGTATTGTCTTTTTGTACTGAAGGGTTTACTTTGAGGATGCTGGATTTTGACCTTCCTAGTATTCGATTATAAAATCAGTTCGTCATAATTTCAGGTCTTCTGCTGATCTAGTGTTTTGGTGTTCTTCAGGGTTCAATTGAGTATTTTCTCTTCTTGTAGTTTCCAGTCCAAAAACAGTCCATCTGTGTAAACCAGTCAGTCTGCATCAAATTAACAAGACCACCATTTCCTTTTGTCAGGAACGCTGAAGATCCACCACAACGCCGTCCACTTGAAGATAAAGCATCGCTGCACGGTGGCCGGTTGCACCATGGTCTTCAGTTCGTTGCGTAGCCGCAACCGACACAGCGCTAACCCAAATCCGCGGTTACACATGAGCGCCGGCAGAAACATACACGCTGACCCACACACAGGGATACACTCTGAGGCGCAGATACACAAGGACGAAGACATGCACAACACTCAAGAAAAAGACACAAGCAACCCATTAGTGCCCGTACACACCCTGAGAAACTGGTTAAATGGTAACCAAAACACCCAACATGAATACCAGGACAACCCACCCCCTCAAGATGACTCCCCTCCATCTTCTCCTCAACCTTTACCCCAGAAAACAAGCCAAGAAATCAACCATAACTTCACCACGTCCGAATCCAATTCACCTCCATCACTGCCTCCCCTTCTCCCATCTCGGACAGCTTCCTCTCTCGTCCCCCTGGTTGTTTCTTCTGTGCTGAAACCCAAACTGCTGACCAATCGGCAGCGTCGGTGTGAGTCAGATGACCCGGTGCCCAAGAAGAAGAAACCCAGGAAGTCGAGCATGCCGGTGAAAATAGAACGAGAGAATGTGGAAGGGGTTAGAGACGAGGAAGAGTGTTGAATGTTGATACATGTGCAGCTGGTTTGCAGAGCTGGGAAGTCGCTAAGTACATGAACTCAAGTATGTCCTCCTTAAGTTCAATTTGAAGGCACCTTTTGTTTGGTATTTAGCTCAGATTGATGCAGAGATATCAGATGTATTATTCAAAAACATCTTTCCTTGATCTCGTTGTCTAATGACTGCAATAACATCCATGGTAGCTCTGATGATGCATACAGCGCTGCATGTTCAACAAAGAAGAATTCCTAAGAGAACACGGACGAGTATCACATCTTATCCAATGATTTTACCCTCTGGAGTAAATACAATGGTTTTGATTTGTGTTTTGTTTCATGTATTGATAAATGTATATATTTTACAGCATGCTGCTCTGTGTCGGGGCTCCCCCTTGTGTTTGTTGTCTGTTATTGCAATAAAAACCTAAAGTCTCCAATCTAACATTTGGCTGATGATAATGTTTACATGTATGATTTTAAATGGAGGACTTAGTGGTATTTAATTCATTAATACATTATATTTTGTTACGATTAATTGCTTTAGACTGATCTTACATTCAACAAATACACTTCAAGTACACTTCAAGTACAACATTTTTAAATGTATTTATTTGCCCTAAGCAGAGATGGAAACAAAGAATGACAGATTTGTAAAAACATTATTATTATTTTCAAGTTGATTTATTTTATTTAAAAAGCGAGATGTATGATAACATCTGTACATAGACATGTGTTCACAATCTTTTGACTTATTTTTTTATTATTTTCTTAAGTAATTTTATCCTAATGTCTTCATTTATTGTATTGCTAAGAAGACACAGAGGAAAGGGAACTAGCCCCTCAGGTCTCTAATTCTACCCGGATGACATTCATGCATGCACCGGAAACGCGATCGGGCAAATAAACAATGCCGGCCCCGTATTATTCTCTCCATCAAATATCCTAACAGTTTACATTAAAAAGGTTTAATCAAAATGTCTAAAGGTGAGATTCTGAGAGAGATTGTTACAGAGAGACTCTCCGCGGCCTGCAGGGATATTTTAGCGGCTGTGGACAGAATCATAGCCGAATATGAGGACGAGGTTTCGGGCTTCAGACAGCAGATCAGCCGGCAGAAGATCCAGCTGGAGCTCCTGCAGGATCACACTGAAGGTGGGTCTTTATCGGTTCATGTTTGTACTGTAATTCGGCTTTGTTTTAACATATAAACGAGTCTGGAGTTTACCTTAAAACCACTAAGTCCTGGTCCAATCAGAGAGGGAAATGCCCAAGTTCATTAAGATATTTAGCGATGTAATGTTTATCTGTTGTAAACTCTTTAATATATACTGAATTAATACACTTAAGACATTTATGTAAGGTAAATAACATACAAACAAGGATGCATTTGACCTTTAAACCACTAAAATCCTGTTATTATCAGAGAGGGAGATGCAGAAGTCCATTATGAGATTTAGCGATGTAATGTTTAAGTGGTTGTAAACTCTAAAGTATTTATTCAATCAACACACTTAAGACGTCTATTTAAGAGAAATAACATACTCTTTAATTCTGCTTTGTTTTAACATATAAACGAGTATTAACTTACATTAAAACGTCTTGTTATATTGGGAGAGGGAGATCTATGCCGAAGTCCATTAAGATCTTTAGCAATTTAATATTTAAGCAGTTGTTTTTTTGCATGCATCAAATTACATACATTATTTGTATGGACAATAACATTAATTAATTCGGCATTGTTTTTAACTGACCAACAGGCATCTATCTTAACATAAAACCTCTTAATTCCTCAAATTCACAGAGACATGAGGAAAGCCATTAAGATTGTTACCATTTAATATGTAAGTGGTTGCTGACACTAACGCATGTATTAAATTAACACACTTAAGACGTGTATTTAATGAATATAACATGCTCTTTGATTCGGCCTTGCTGTTACTGACCAATTAACACATATGACTTGTAATGTAAATAAGGGGAAGTTAATCAGAGTTACACATCTGATTTTTGGCTATTTCCTGTTCACGCCTTGCTGCTTTTTGAATGCCGATATTAAAGTTAGACTCACGTGATGTTTTTAATGGCATTATGTTTTCCTCATTTATATGATATACATGTGGGTGATAGATATTAGAATAGCGCGTTTCTCACCTGGAGTTTTGCACATATGTTCTCTATACAGTATCCTCGTTTTAAAAAACACTTTTCATAAATGTGAAGTGGAAAGAACTTATTTCTGTATGTTTTTATAGAAGGCGAGAAGGGCAGCACCCTGGATGAAGAGGAGCAAGATGAAGATGAGGAGGAGCGTCCAGAGAAACCAGAAAACTCGACCAATCAAACGCCATCAAGGTTATTCTATCAACAAGTGTTTTACTTAAGTTTACTCGACAATGAAACAATAGGATCATTCAATGGTTTTATTCCCATTGTTTTAATCAACCCACATTTTCTGGTCTTTTCCCGCAGATGTCAGAATAAAAAGAGGAAACCTGGGATAATTGAAACTCAGAAACACGTGGAGCTCAGGCTCCGGATCCTCGAGGACTTTAACACCGACGTGCTCACAAATAAAGGTAAGAAAATACACTTCTTCCTACTTAATATCATCTAAAGCAGGGACGTGTCCAACTCAATTTCATCGCGGGCCACGTCAGCATTAATGTTGCACTCAAAGATAAATAGATATACTTTATTAATCACACATTGGGACATTGTTCTGTTACAGTGTGCTCGACATTCAAATACAGATACTTAAAGTGGAAGAGAAAAATGAAAAGGGCTGGTTGTTACTTTAAGACTATATAAATACACATATGTAAATATATAATATATATAAAATAATGTATTATTTTACATTATTGCCACTGCATTGGATTATTATCAGATAGGGTAATAACTTCATAGTTAACTACGACTGAAAGCAGAAGTCCAGGGCAAATAATTGCAAGTCTCTTCAGTGAGAATGTCACACAACGAGATGCATTGTGGGACATGTAGTTTATGGGCAACGTGCTTCTGTAAAGCGGCGAGTCACCGTATAATAAACGTAGTATATTCTCAGATAACTCCTCTACATGTTTTCGACCATCCTTTGTTGACTTCTTATTTGTTTTCCTTGTTGTCCTTGTTTAATCCAAGTTATTATTAATATGAACTACTTCCTGTTGTTCCTGACTGCTCTCAATCCTTAAAGGGAAATAACATACTCTTTAATTCCGCTTTGTTTAAAGATATAAACAAGTATCTATTCCACCTTTTAAACCACTAAAGTCCTGTGGATATTTAATTGGTTGAACACTTTTGCATTGAGACGTTTCTTTAATGATAAGAACATAGTCTTTAATTCGGCTATGTTTCTATTTAACGGGGACCTATCATGCAAAATGCACTTTTGTATGTCTTTTATACATGAGGTGTGTCAGGGAACAGATTTTAAATATCTCTGACGTCAGGAACGAGGAGCTCCGCCTATATGGGCAACTCTCCACCTATCAGGGGAATGAGAGGTTGCTGTGGCATGGTAACAGCATGGTAACGGCATGGTAACGGCATGGTAACGGCATGGTAACGGCATGGTAACGGCATGGTAACAGCATGGTGACAGCATGGTGACAGCATGGTAACAGCATGGTAACAGCATGGTGACAGCATGGTAACAGCATGCTGTTACCATGCTGTCACCATGCTGTTACCATGCTGTTACCATGCTGTCACCAAAAAAAACTTCACAGACATGTTTTATAAAGGTATGACCCTACAATATGTTACTCAAATATAGCATGATAGGTCCACTTTAACCAATGGGTATTTATTTGACCATAAAACCTCTTGTTATGTTTAGAAATCGAGAGGCAGAATTCTATTAAGAGATATTTATCAATGTAATCCAAGTTGTTGTTCTTATTATTATCAACTTATTCCTGTTGCTTCTGGTTGCTTCTGGTTCTGGCTTCTGACCGCTCTCAATCCTCAAAGAAAGTCTTGCAGTGAAAATAATCTAATTTATTCTCTTTTCTGTGTCAGTTTTAAAGAAATGTCCTCTGCTGAAGCTGAAGTGTCCTCGAGGACTGACGGAAGAAGACTTCCTGAACTTCCTGAGGGGCAGCTTTCCACAACTGTGTGCAGAAAATAAACATTTTGACATTTTAACGTCAGACAAGAGACGGAGACTCAAGCCTCTTAAAATAAAAACTCCAACAGCCGAGGAGATCCACAGAAACATCAGGAACTCGCCTCTCTACATCAGACTGAAGGTGGTTTAACTTATCGAAGGTAGAAGTCTCTTTTATTCAAACGCTAGATCTGACTTTTTTTTAATTTTTACAGAAGAATAAGGACCCTCAATCCAGTGAAGAAGAGATGAATCCTCTACAGATAAAACACAGCAGCACTGGAGACGTTCTGTTTGATGAAACGAGGTAATTTGGAGGAAAGTCACCTTAAAATGTTTGAAAGTGGCCCTATTGTGGTTTCTAGGGAGCCCCTAAAGGGACATGAAAAAAGAGAGAGAGAAAAAAAAAGTCGGGATAACGAAACTAACCCGTTATCCCGAATTTATCTTTTTTGTTTTTTGAGGAAGTTACCGGTGCGCCAAGGAGGAAGTAGAGCGCACAGGAGACAACCGTTTCATTGCAGACTGTTGTGTTTTTGTGGGGAAATGACAGTGCAGACATTATTTGAGATATATTTGGAACTCAGACTTAATTTTAAGGACATTTCAGCCAGGGGTGTAGAGCTATGTGTTTAAGCACCGCATTGGCCAAACAGGAGAGTCTGTGAACCAGTCTGCTCTGATCTATGAATTAATGTCCGTGACTCTCAGAGTACCTGCTGCCCGCAGCTGTTTTAAAGGGGAACAAACACTCAGAACACACACATCACACACACACACACACACACACAGTACACACACACACACACACACACACACACACACACACACACACACAACACACACACACACACACACACACACACACACACACACACCACACACACACACACACACACACACACACACACACACACACACACACACACACACACACACACACCACACACCACACACACACCACAACACACAACACACACACACACACACACACACACACACACACACACACACACACACACACACACACACACACAACACACACAACACACACACAACACACACACACACACACACACACACACACACACACAGAGCCAGTTGGCGGACTGCCCATGGCCGAAACCCCGATGGGCCGGTTACCGGAGTGGGACGGTCGGGCCACTCGGCCCACCGTTTCCCCGCAGCGAGGGTTGACTGTTTACGTGGGCTCGGCTGGGTGAGATTCCCGGGCTGATTTTGTGTGTGTGTGTGTGTGTGTGTGTGTGTGTGTGTGTGTGTGTGTGTGTGGTGTGTGTGTGGGTGTGTGTGTGTGTGTGTGTGGTGTGTGTGTGTGTGTGGGGTGTGTGTGTGTGTGTGTGTGTGTGTGTGTGTGTGTGTGTGTGTGTGTGTGTGTGTGTGTGTGTGTGTGTGTGTGTGGTGTGTGTGTGTGTGTGTGTGTGTTGTGTCAAACGTAACAGCCTGCGGTCACTCTTTATAGCTGTTGGAATGAAGGTAAACACGGTGTAGGCGGTGCGTACGAGAAGAGGTGAGATACTAACCCGTTATCCTGACTTTTTTTTGTCTCTCTTTCTGTGTACGCATCTCCTAAAACCTTTTTCCATATTTTTGGCCACTAAAACGCATAAATACCATCTTGTATTGCCTCTTCAAACCCCTCATTTTAGTTCCCTTTTAATCTTTACTCCTTGTTCCCACAGCAGCACGTGTCAGGAAGTCGAAGTGAGCGGAGAAGACCTCTCAATATCACAACAAGACATCGAAACAGAGGAAGCAGGTGCCGAGGATTGTGGGACATCCGAGCCAGATGAGGGGAAAATGGACGGTGTGGAAAGAGAAGAAGCGAGCGATGACGATTGGAAACCAGACTTGAGTCGTGACTCTGGATTGTGTTTATCAAAGACTAAAAAGAAAGGAAAAGCCAAACGCTCGGGTTTAAAAAGCGAGAAAAGTGTGGATGATTTCTCCTGCAAAGTGTGTGGAGCGCTGCACGAATTGGAAATTGCGGTAATCAAACACGCCTTGAGTCACGTGGACAAAACGGGAAGTTTTTGCGGTGTTTGCGGAGAGCATTCAGTGTCGATGACGGATCATTTTGAAAGCCGACACAAAACCCACGACTGTCACATCTGCGAAGAGTCTTTTCTCAGTTCTCTTGATCTCGACGAGCACGTGGCCGCCCACTCGGGGCAGAAACCGTACGAATGCGATGTTTGCAAAGACGCTTTTGCATTGAAAGTCTCCTTAGAGAATCACAAGCAGATGCACGAGAATAAAAAGTTGCACCTCTGCGGAGTTTGCGGTAAATCCCTCTGCGACTTCCGATCGCTTTCCCGCCACAAGATGACGCACTCCGGGGAGAGACCTCAAGGTTGTCAGGTGTGCGGGAGGCGTTTCAAACTCCCCGGGACGCTGAGGCAACACGAGAAGATCCACACGGAGAGACAAAGATCATACCTCTGCGACGTTTGCTGCAAGATGTTCCTCACGAGCAAGGAGCTGCAGATCCACATGCGAACGCACTCCAACGAGAAGCCGTATCACTGCGGGGAATGCGGGAAAGGATTCTCCACGAAAGGCTCGTTGACGATACACATGCGCGTCCACACTGGAGAGACACCGTACAGCTGCCCCGACTGCGGATGGTCCTTCAAGCGAAAGATTAATCTGGATAACCACGCCACGGTGCATTCGGGTGCCAAACCGTTTGTTTGCACGATTTGCGGGAAAGCGTGCGCTCGCAAAACGTACTTAACGGTCCACATGAGGACGCACAACGGAGAGAGACCGTACAAGTGCACCTTCTGTGACAAAGCCTTCACTCAGAGCCACTGCCTGAAGACTCACATGAAGAGCCACCAGGGGGCGGAAGCTGCAACGTGACGCTGAAAATGGAGGACATTGTTGTGTTTTCCACTATTTATGTATCTGTTTTCAAGTTATGTGAAGATTCCTGTACAGTGGGCAACGTTCATTGCATGTGGGAGAAATAAAATATGAATGTGCAATACAGAGGTTGCGCTAGACTTTTTCGCTGCCCGTCATTTTGACGGACAGGATCGTAAAACTTCCGTCAAAATCCAGAATTACCCGTCAGCCTTTACACAACTCTGACGAGGGGGGGGGAAGAAGCATGCTCGTGAACTGTCAACGGGGGTGGGAAAAGTTCACATGCGCCGTGTTATGCATGGCTGCTGCACCTCGCGGGAGTGTGCACAGCGTAAAGCCAAAACTCACAGACATTTCAATGATCTGTACGGCACAGTTAGGTTTGGAAACGGTATAATTTCCTTTTTGGAGGGCATGCATAACACGGCATAACACCGGAGCCTCGCTGCAGGGAAACTTTGGCGCTGTTCCGAGTTTGTTCTAATCTGTCGGACTGCTTTCAGATTTGTCCGTCATTGTTAAAAAAAATCCGTCATAGACGGAAAATATTCAGTTAACGCGACCTCTGGTGCAATATCAGTTTTGGTGCTGTCAGAGGAAATTATTACCTGGTGAATTGCAGTTTATTTAATGATCTTAAGAGACACCCCAGGTGAATAGGGTAATTGTTTTAACTTAAAGGTATCAGCTGGAAAGTTCTCCAGTTAATTACTTACAATAAGGCAATTGTTTTTTGTATTACAAGTGTTCTGAAATAGCATGTTTAAATATGCAAATGAGCCATTATCTCATTAAATATGCGCAGATTTTAACACATTTCACATATTGAAATCTGAACTTTGGAAAAAGCCAGGTTCAAAATTCTTGTTTCATTTTGTAGTCATATTAGTATCTAAGGCTTTTACAGAAGGGATATTGGATATCTCTTTTTATCACTCCATAAATCAGAAAATGCTGTCAACAGCCCTAAAATATCAATTTTCGCCATGTTTTTAGGTATACAATGTTGTATAATTCAGGCTATGAATGATATATGAACAAACCCTTCTGTAAAAGCCTTCATAATATTGATAGGAATATAACTGGAAGGTTTGATGTATGTACTCTACGTGCTACTGAAGTTGAAATTTCGAACTCAGAGTAGGAGAAAAAACTCATTTTGAGAAAACGACCTTTAAAGATTGCAGTGAGGTGCTAGCTAAACCCTCCTGTTCTTTGGATGACAGCTTGCGCATCGACGCACTCCGTGAAGGTATTTCATGTTCGGGGTCATTTCTTTTTTTTATAACCTTGCTTTGTGCAAGTGACGTTTTTTTCGCCGTTCTTTTGCCATTTTGAGATTTCAATTTCTAGCGGAAAGCTAACCAGGAAGTCTTTTAGACACGTGACGCATCTGAACGAATCACGTTGTCAGAAATTGACACCAGCCAATGAGATTTAGTTTCTTGGTTTAAGACCCCTTTGTGCTTTCCCGATTGGTTGCTGATACAAAGGAGATGACCATATTTGGATCCGATGCGATTGTGCAGGAGAGACGGAGCTTTCCAGCGATACCTCTGTTGACATGGTGCACACAGCGGTCGCGGTACTTTATGTTACGTTAGAATGCTAACTTTTGCTAACTTTTGGTGAATTTAGGAGAAATCTACAGACGCAAATACACAAACTATAGTAAAATAAACACTTAAATGTGTATTTTGTAAGTTTTCCTTCCAAAAGCCTGAAAGAAAACATGTTATATATATGTTATTATTTACATGGTTCATTTATATTCACTAATGTTCGGGTGCGCACAACAAAGAGAAGTGTTTGTGTTTCTGTTTGTGGGGTGAAGATCTGGATCAATTTGAGTGAGGAGCTAAAGGGATGTCCAAACATCAAACTATTCAAAAAGAGGTATAAAGAAGACACAATGCTCACAGGTACAGGGACTGCTAAACCATAACTGTTTATATTCTTGTTTTGTATTTTATTTATGAATTTGTGTTTGTATGAATTTGTGTATGTACATATGTATGTGTGTATATAGATATATAGAGACCATTCTCCTAACTTGCCTGTATATATTATATGAATGATTATATAAATTATTCAAGGTTAAAGTATACATTGATATTGTATGTTAACATATATTAAGATGTAAAAAAAAAAGGGAGAAGGGGTCGGATTAGCTAAAGCTTTGTTTATTGATATCAGACAATGATACTACAGATTATTCAATTATTAATTAAATATTCGTTTTGTTATTGCATTCATTTGTATAGTACTGTATCATGTCTGTATCATCTTTTGTGTCATTTGTATTTTCTTTGGTTTTACACGCTCGAAAAAAATAAACTAAACTAAACTGTTATAGAATCAAAATAGCACAAAATCTCAAAATTGACCAGTGCTTGAAAAACGATGTTTTTGCCTGCCGTGTCTCGACTTTAGTAATCAGAAAGAAGTATTCATATCCTTTACTCAGTAAAAGTACGAATACAGAAATACTTAACTACTCTTAAACAAGTAAAAATTCTGCATGACCGTATAAAAAAACAGTAGTTTAGGTATTAAGATCTAGTACTAGACTCCTGGTGCTAGGATGGGATAAATGCAGAGGCCAAATGTCCCTGTGTGTGCTGTGTGGTGTGTGCTCTGCATGTGTGACCATTAAAGAGGGTTTCATCCCTCCCAATTCTAATTCTATTCTATCTGATGCAAATATATTTAAATTCACATCCGTCATCAAGGTGTGTGAACCACAGGTGAGAGCAGGACTGTTTTTCATGCATACTTAATTATACCTTTCTACGGTAGATGAATACAGGCAAATGATGTCTCGCATTATCGTGTTACCGGGAGGTCAGACTGCAGAGACAGCAGCATTATTTGAATATCATTCCAATTATCATCGGTTTGTCATTTCTATAGTTATGACACAACAAAACACAACAGAACACACAGAGCAAGTCATTAAGACATTTATTCTTTCTTTAAAATAAAGTGATTACATATATTGTTATACCATAATATGATTATACAACATTACATTATAATATAAGATCCATTATATTAGAACTGGTTTGTGAAAACAAAAGTTAAATATCTTAAACCTCAAAAACACTAAAATGAATTTCTAAAATTTAAAAAACAATCAGCCGCTAAATATACAATCGGTGCTAACAATGTAGTAATCGGTAACTTATCAATCAACAACATTGATATTTAGCTTGACTTTCATCTGGAATAGTGTCATATTTGTCTCAATATGTGCGAAACAACTAACATTAGCATGTTAACACGTTACATTTAGCAGCCAATAGTGATGAAAAAAGCCTTTAATCAGTAATGGAGTGCCACAGGGCTCTAGCTTTGGTCTTCTATTATTTATATTGAATTTAAATTACATTTTTGCGATTTGATGTCATACAATGTTATACCACATTTACTTATAATATAAGATACATCATACTAGAAATGGTTAATACACACACAAGTCAATCATCTTTAACCACTAAAACAAGTTCTCAAATAGTAAATTAAAGGAAAATCAATAACTGAACATAAAATAATCATTGAGTTTAGTTTTTTTCCAACTCAAAAAGCTGACCTGCACATTCAAGAGTATCCGTCTCATTACTCAGTCAGATATACAGTATTTGGTCGCATCCAAAGTAAGCTTTTACGTATCAACAGGCTATTCCCAAAGATTTCCAGGTATTTCCTTTTAATCTTACACTTATTTCCAAAACAGATGTTGGCTTACAGTACAAGGCTTCTCTACATCTGCTCATAACCTTTAGAACTTTAAATTCTAATCCAACTCTCATCCTGATTCAGTGTTTGTTTGCAGCATTGTAATTTTCCCGCCCTGTGTAGACACAGCAGAGGTAAAACCAGACTGCTGGGGAGACGTTATTATTAATACAACATTTAAAAAAATAATTGATAAAGAAAATTGATACAAAATTATAATATTTCTTTTTAATTTACAATTTTTATTTTGTAATCATCTTGCGACCCCCACGTTGGGAGACCCACTCTAATCAACAGTTGTTTTCTTGAAAGATCACCCACCTCAGCAGCGTTTCTTCAGATCGACCTTCTTTGCCCTCTTCAAAACCGACTGCTGAAGCTCAGGTGAGACCAGGACTCTGATTTTCATACATACTTAGTGGTACCTTTAAACGGTAGATGAAATAATGCAAATGTATTTCTCGCATTATTGTGTCTCTGTGAGGTCAGACTGCAGCGACCTCACCGGCATTATTTGAATATCACGGCAATTATCATCAACTAGTCATCTGTACATGATTTATTGAGAATATACAACAACACAATAAAACACACAGTAAAGTGAGTTATTATAACGTTTATTTGTGTTTAAAGTACAGTAATGTCATATAGTGTTACACTACAATTACTTATAGGATGCATTACACTTAAATAGTTTAGTGCACACACAGGTTAACAAACTTAAACACCTGAAACCAATTTCCCAAATCATCAAATCAAAGTTTATTTATTTATACAGCCCAATATCACAAAACACATTTATCTCAGTGTGCTTTACAGAATAACAAACGTATATGACAATGTAAAATATGTTTAAAATTAGAAGTTAGTTATTATGGCATTTATTAGTTTTATAAATACAGTAATGTTATACAGGTTTATACAACATTACAACATACAGTCATGCTACATTAGAGTTTAACATTTGTGTGAAGGATTGTCTTTGTCACGACTTATTAACAATAACAAGACAAAGTCATAACAGACCATACTTAATTTGTTTACGTGTTTAGCCAGCCAAAGTAACCGCTAACAGCTGTTAGCGTTAGCTGCCGTTAGCTGCAGTACTTATTATAACAAATTAAGTTTAATAGTTTCGTTAAGTTTGATAATTGGGTAGTTATGTTTATAAAAGGTTAGGTTGTTTGGTTACGTCCACATAACAAAGACATCTCACACAATGTCAAATGTGCAAATACAAATGTCTGTCTCATGCATACTAATTCAAATAAAGTAAAGTGACGGCTGGCCCATAGGGGGCGATAGAGCCCTCCCTAACCCACACACAAAAGCTTTATTATTAATAACAATAATAATACAAATAATAATACAAATTAATTATATAAATTGTCAATATTTGTGTTTAAATATGGAATGCAGCCATAAATATGTGTAAAATATTATTTTTAAATAAGTTGCGCAAAATATATGCTTTTCCTAGAACACTGTATGACT